TTTTGTGAAATTTGATGTAACGGAAACGGATTTCAACTTGAAAGAAAAGAACATTTATGTCTGTATGTGTAGTTAGGTTGGCTACATAAAATAGACCGTTTAGTATTTTTCGTAGAATTTTTTTAGTAGAATTAAGAGGATTGGGCAGTTTCTATGGGACGGATGTTGGAATGTTTGGCTAAACCCCTAGCTTCCAGTTCCCAAGTCCATATCGACTTAACTATGGTGTTGTAAAGCAGCCTTTTATTTTTGAAAGGAAATCAAAACTTTAAATTCACTAATTTTGTGGTCCGCTTGACCAATTAATATATTACAATTAAGGTTTTTAGTTGAGATAAAAAGTCAATGGCACGAGCGGGATTCGAACCCACGATCTTCGGCTAGATACTTGAGATAAAAAATGACAATTGAAAAATGGCAAAAAGGAGGGAAAATTCAAAAAGGTGAGGTTGAGATGGGAAGTTAGTATCCGAGTGGATCGAGGTCACGATAGCTCAAGTGGTAGAGCAGCGGCGTATCTAGCCGAAGATCGTGGGTTCGAATCCCGCTCGTGCCAGTGACTATTTTATCTCAACTAAAAACCTTAATTAATTGGAAATCAAAACGTTCTTCAAGAAGTCGTGTAAGAGACATCGTGTCATAACTTCCAGACGTTTCAGTCGAAAAACAGATAAACTTATTTAATAAAACGGCACAAACATATATGATACAATATGAGTGTTCGTATGTTAACATTTCTGTAAGCAGATTTTATAGAAGAAACAATGCCGTGTTGAAAATAGCACCGATGGAAAAATAGCATCCCAGTGGGATATCGATAACAAAAGATTCTTCAACCCTATTTTTATATCTTTTTATTGTATCGAAAGCCTAGGGGGTGGGAATTTTACATTTCTAATTCGCCAGGTAGGCTGTTTGCATGAGAATTGTGCGATAGGCCGGAGGGCGGCTACTAGAGAGTCAATACGCCGAGGAAAGCGAGAAGAAAAAAAACCGAAAACCGGAAAGAAAAATTGTGTCCCATTCGTAAGAAAGCGGACAAGCGTGGATGGTAAATAAATCAAACTGAACAATTATCACGATTATAGACTCGGGTAAGTGCGAAGGCGCCGGGACCCCACCTAGAATATCAATGAGGTGTTGACTCCAGTTATGGCTCCATCTATCAATTTCCATTTTCCTTTCTACGATAAAAGAACTCCCATCCTTGTAACAATTGTATACGTTGTGCTCAAAGAGTAAAGTTATTCGGTAGATTTCACCGTAATAATATAAGAAATCCACATTTAAAATTGTTCGTTATTTTAATAATTTTTTTAAATTAAAAAAAATAAAAATGCCATATAAACTTTAACTAAGCATAAAACGACAAGGTTGTGTTTTTATTTTATTATTTTTTAAAATTTAATATACGTATATGTTTTGTATATGACCTGACAAATCAATCTGATTTGCAATATAAGAAAATAATGTGGGATTTTTTTTATCACGCGTACAGATTTTAGTTTTCAGAATTAAAAATATAAAATTTATTAATATACGATATTTAGTTATGATAAGTAAATAGATTGCTAGACAACAAAAACGAGTTTTTTCTTAACAAAAAAGTTCACGAAAGTGGTAATGCCTGTTTCGAAGGATTTATTTAAACATTATCTTCGAAACGTTTCGAGAGAATATTTAACATAACAGGTTTAACACTTTAAACATTATATTACTAAGGAAACTCTTTACTATCCATTACTTCTTGAGAATGTATCCAAAGATTTCCATATTTATTGTTGACCAAAGAGTGCATTTAACAAATAAGAAAGGTAGTATTATTTGTCAAAACTACTTGTAATTCGGAAATTCGAGGCAAAACATTACTTTGTTATTTGTATTCTTTTATCTTTCACAATGTGTTTCCACAATGTTGCGTCGCCCTAACACAATTCCACTGATTGTTAGGCCGGGGGGCGATTTAATTGTTATAATTGGATGGCTGTTACTAAAAAAAAACAACCTAAAACTAATATTCCAAAATTAATGCCGCCACGTGCAGATGATACGGTGAGGAAGCAGATAGCACTGCTTAACGGGCGTTGGGGTGACATAGCGAGGCGTGAATGGCCCGAGGAGCGTCTTGGACCGCTGTAAATTCATTAGTGTGAATTAAGCGGTATCGTCGAGAGGTGCATATGCTCTATCAGCATATATAACGGGTTAAAGCCCCCTCCAACTCCCCGTGTTGCACATTTTACCCTGGGGACGGACATGATTAATTTCGTAGCTCCTATTCCCGTTGTGCCCGACTGTTAATCTTCCAATTATAACCGGTAATTCCTACAATTTACCCTTCAGACCTCACGAACAATTACTTAGTAACTTTCACGGGCCGTCATATGATTATGGATGTGCATATCATGCAACACCCATTCCAATCTTTCCCAGCTTGCACAACACAATTTAAATATTAATTTTTAAGACATGAGTAAAATAGACAATATAGATTATTATATTTGCTACATGAAAACATTTATGTCAAATAGGAAAAATTGAGATAAATGTTGTGAAATTGCGAATATATGAAGAGATGAGTTTAATCAATATTTTTCTAATCGTTTCCACTCAAAATGATTTCGCCATAACAAAGGTCACAATCTAAGGGTAATCCATCTCGATCGAACAGCTGTCAACAATATCTGTGTAGTTGTAAGAACCATCAAACCTATTTCATACATTCGAACTGACGATTCCATTATTCATGACCTACTTTAATATCCGATCAAATTCACTTACACAATTACATTTATTGTTCTGAATTACAATAGATAGATTTATTCTCTTCAAAAGAAATAATGATTCTATGTAAAAGCCGATGTTTTATCCCGATCCGATGTTTCAATTATCTGATATGAAGGTCTGTCAAGATTTACGAACCACGTGTATTGATTGGTATGAGGTCGAAGAACTGTCAAAACCCATCCCGAAGTGTAATCGGATAGGTAAACAATCGAACAGATAGTACATTCGAAACTGGTCAATCTATATGTTTACTACAAGATGGGGTCCATTACGTTGTTTAGACAACCTTAATGTGTAACCTAATATAAATTAATTAACATGCAAATATAAGATCAATTCTATACTGACTGACAAATAACCGCTTTTTTGCTGAACATCCCAGAGGTCTATATAAATAGATTAATTTTCATAACTATGTTTTATAATATAAAAGATATAGAAAAGTAATATAAGGGACAGAGAAAAATAAACGGAGCTATAGACCAACAGTTCAGTCTGACTTCTAGACGTTGCGGGCTTAGCCTATTCTAGTTTCATATTTGATTATTAACAACACAAAAATTATATGTGTTAACATGGGGGTGTCTCATGGATTTTAACGACCCTTCTTTTTGGTGTTGGGTACTACATCGAAAAATATTAGACATTGTGCGTTCGTTCGTGCCAATGATACTAGGAGCCGAGAAAAAATATTTTATTTAAGTTAAAAAGATGTATTTCTGCTTTATTGTGAATGATTATTTGGTGATCGTGAGATGAGGTCAGGTGTGACGTAGGTTTTTACAAAAGCATTTTCTTTATCGTGCCAACGTTGCGATCTGTATTGAGATAATCGTCAGGGCCTGGGATTTATAAACATTGTTTAAATTTTACAAATACAAGTAGGATGTGGAAAAAAATGAATTTATATTATATTTATAGAAATTTTAGATTCTATCAAAGTATTTGTACTCACTCAAAGTATTTGTTTTCTGATAGATGTGACATTCTTGTGTTCTCACTAAACACCACACATTTATTGTGAATGTACCTCAAGATTATTAGTATATTAGACAATTTTTTTTTACCTTAGATAAACAAAAAATATTTAGGATCGTAATAAATGATATTAAATATATAAAATGTTACAGAATTCGAGAAAAGTAGGTAAAAACATTGTTTTAGCAAAAGCAATTAACATTCTTAATAACTACCCTTAAAAATATTAAATACGAAGTTGCTTGGCAGTAAAGTGCATGGTCTGATTCCACTGGGCAAATTTTTTTTTGTAACTAATGTCGTGTGTTTCACTTAATATCGCATAACATAACTAACAAGATTTTATTTAAATTAAACGCTATTAAAATCGTTTGAAGTAGAATAATTCTACTTTCAAGCTATGCAAATAATGTTTTATATTATCTCATTAAATGTGAGAAAAATAAGAAAGATATCAACAAAAACTCCTCAAATGTTTTATTTTTTTAATCACTGGTTGTAATCCATTTCGAAAGGCGACCTTTGTGCCATAACATGTAATGTATTATGTTCAAAACTCCAGTAAGTGTCCTATAGATGGGTTGGGTTATTTCAATGTTATCACTATTTTGGTTATTTAAAAAAGTGGAAGCAAAACAGTTGAAAAATAACGATCGTTTAATCATTTTCCTAAAAGTTTGTTTTCAGGGGATACTCGTATGTCGAGATGCCAAATGCAATACAAGTAGTGACTTGGCAGAGTAGTTTCAAGAAATAATTTTGCAACAAATTCACTTAGAAAACGTTAATGATGATTTCTTTCGTTCCAACCTTAAGTTTCTCACTTATGACATAGTATGTTGCACACATAGGATGAAAAACGAACAAGCTACCCAACGGTTACACTGAAGTTGGATAAAATCCAGAAAAGTTATACATTTTTAAGTGGAACACCGGACACGGAGACAAAACAATTTTCCTTGGATAATTGGGACCAAAAATATTTATTTTTGCGATGGAAATTCGTATTTTATGGTTTTTCAGGGTAGTGAAAAAGAATACAATTTTTTAAAACCATTTTATTAAATGCTTTATTCGAAGCATCTTTTAGTTTATGAGACTTTTTGCACATTTAATCTCATTTAGTACAATTCAGCATATTATTTTGTAATCCAAGATTTAAAAATATCCACTGGTATATAATACCATGAAATACATGCGCAACTATGGCAAAAGAACATAATTTATGCAATTACTTAAATTACATAAAATAGATTTATCGGCTCCAGGACTTGGCGTTGGCGAAAACGCTTAGATACGTGTTTGAAAGAATTATTCTGCCCTGTATTTTTCGCACTAATAATTTTAACATAGATCATCCATTTGCCTTGCCATGCCATGCCAAGGCTTTGCCAACGTTTCTAAAAAATAAAAGAGTAAAAGCTCGTATTGAAAAATATAAATACATACGTAAAAACCTATTAATTTTATATTAAACGGTTCCTATGGATGTAAACCAACCTTTGCATCTTTTGTTACCAAAAAACTGCGTTATCATCCAGTTAGAATCATGTGTTTTCAAACATTTCCAAAGCCGAATTAAATGCAAGTCAGATTGGAAGGGAAGCTCCAGGACGTAGCCCCCAGCTTTAAATCTGTGTTAGAACCAGAAGCTTTTTGCATCGCAACCCCTCCATTGTTAATAATCCCGCATACCGCACCCCGCACCGAAACATTAGTCCATACTAACGCTCATAGTTATCTTAATCACCATAATCCGTGTTTGTCCCGTTCCACTCCCATTATCTTGTACACCTGAGTCACCTTGACTAAGCGCATCATTTAAACATCATTCCGTTCTGTGGGAAATTTACATTTTTAAGTCACACTCGACTATCGAATCTCATTTATATTGTAATTTTATTCTCTCGGGAAATAGATTAAAACTCTCAACTTAAATGTAAAATTGTAAGGGTAATAATGGGTGGAATGTGTATTCGAAAATAATGTTAATCTTGTTGGTCGGCCTGTGATCAATGGAACTATTATTGCACAGATTTTAAAATTAACTTGACGTAGCTTAAATAAGAATGCAACGAAGAACCAAACGAGAACAAACGGACCCAGTAACATGGTCAGAGTCAGCCAGTTCAACATGTAGGTACTCGAAGAAATTTTCAGGAAGAAAACTGGTACAAGTTAGAATCATGATTGATTCCGTTGATATACATTTATTTCATTACCTATTTTTTCTCTTAATGAGTGTGTAGAATAAAATGATTATATATTAAATTTAAAATAGATAGAATTTAAACTGAAAAAAGTGGCCAAAGAATTTTTAAAAATAATTTAATTTGATTATAATTTATTTATTAAAATGATTTAATTTTGATAGCAATTTATATATTTAAAATTTAATTTGATAATTTATTAATTAATTTTTGTATTCATTTGATCTGTTTTAGCCTTTAATGGCTTACAGAATGAGTTGAATTCTCACTTTGATATATATAATCTTAGTAATTTGCAACAATTAGTCTTATTTAATTAGAATGTACGTAAAATAGAAAATTTCTATGTTTTAAAAATAGGAGTGTTTTAATAAATTACAATATTAACATAATGGCTGTATTGATAACTATGTAACCAAAATACCAACATAGTAATCATTTTAATAACAAACTAGCGACTCAGCTACATAATGGGATGGGTGAACTCCCTTTGATAACAATAATTAATAGTAATAATACCAGCTAGGTGCTAAAGCATTCCAATAGGAAGTGAGCTGAAGTATCATATTGCAGGCCAAAACAATGCATTTTCCGTCAGGATTCAATTGATAATTTTTTCTATTAAAGTACGAAAATTGATGCTTATTACTGGCCAATGTCAATTGGCATATTAGGAGAAGTTTTTTCGTTATTTTTCATAGGGAAGTTTCCTAAACAACTTATTAATCTACATTGGTAATTATACTTTGAGTTTATTCTATTTCTTATTCATGTTTCAATGTCAGCAAGTATATACTATGGTTTTTATATCTTTCAGTAAAATTTTTATGTCTTGTTTTATATTAGGACATTGGCTATAACTCTTGTGACCCGATATAAATAAGAATTGTGTATTAACGAGTACGCCAAAGAAGAGGTATGTTCTTATTGTCTTTTATGGAATATAGCCTTAGTCACGATTTTCATAATAATTTACTTATCTTCCTATTGATGTTTTCAGCCATTTTCTAAGTCTAATTAATCCTCTCAAGCTTAATTTTGTACTATGGCCAACGAATTCGCTGTAAATTACAAAGGGTATTTACGGCGTTTTGATGGACGAATTTGCCAATGCTTTTAAGATTAATTGACGTTATTAATATAGAACTAGAGAAGGAAGACAAAGGGAACTTTACTCGATTAAACCAGCGGCTAGAAAATGGTTCCTTTGTTACGAAAGACGACCCTGCGGTGATTGTCGGATCCCTTTAATTGTTCAACAATTTTGAACGATAGAATATGCATTCGGCCTGTGCAATTATTAAATTCTTCCACAAAGGATCGTTCATATTCTTTGGTTAAACCAGTTTGGTTGAGAATGCCAGTTGGTGTTTTTGTTTTTAATGTTTTTGAGAGATAAATACCGCTTTGTATTTCTTAGAATTGCAGTACCCGCATGCTACAACGATCAATACAACTCATAATTGCTTGCATGCACGTATCGTTAATAAAATATCTCTCTCTAGAACAAAATTACAATAATAAATAAACCTTACAGTTCCAATACGACTTTGTTAGGAAGACAATATCATACAACTGTAACATGCTACATATATTATAAAATGTAATGGTACAAAAGATTTTCTGTTTTTTATTTTGAAAGGTACAAAATTTTAAGTACCAAAGATGTCCATATCTTAATCTTTAAGAATATGAATTATACTGACAGGAAAAAATCAATTATGTGGATTTTTGGGTAGGTCCACTTAATTGATTTTTTTTTCTTTTTCTTGATAAAAGAAAATTCTCCCCTTAATTTTTCTCATTGCTTTTACCAATAAATATTTGCTTATGCTATGTTTTAAATTGGGAAGATTAATTAGAGGTAAAAATTAAGTGAATCCTTAATCCAAAACACGGATAAACAACTTTTCAATGTTTACTTTTTACGGAATTTAAAATGTTTATTCAGTCCCATTTGAATACTGAAGCAATAAATTGCTTAGTTTTCATCTTTGTTGTCTAAATTACAATTTTTAAATTTAAAAATGCCACTTTGTGCTGAGAATGTAGCGCGTGGTGTAGATGGACGTTCCATCGGGTAAGCGGCTATTGCCATAGGAGTTTTGTACGAAAATCTGCGAAAATTTAGAGAAAGAAAGACTGAGAATTTTGCGAAACCGGCACCTGATTGTTGTTAAAGCGTTTCATCAGCTCCAGGAAGTTCGAGGTGTCCAAATTTCCGAATGACTGCTCGAAGATGATTCAATCTCCCCTAAGAGGACCAGAATTTACAAGAACTCACATAATTGCACGGCTCCCATTTGCTCGAGAACACAGCCATTGGTCTTTAGATGATTGGTCCGTTGTACTTTTTACAGATGAGTGCAGATTTGCTCTACGATCTCTAAAAGGGCGTGAAAGTAGGTGGAGAAGGCGAAATGAAAGGTAGGAAGTTAGTAATTTTTCCCAGAGCCGACCTTTTCAACGTAGCTCAGTGATTGTCTGGGCTGGAATTCCAATGGAGAGACGCACTGAATCGGTTGTTCGTGGAGTGTGTTTGCCGGCCACTTGCTATGTGGAGGACATTTTGGAACCTCATGCGTTCCCTGTCCCCGAAATCAGCGACAATCCTATTCTAACACACGATAAAGCCCGTCCACATGTCGCTGGCATAGTACGATCGTACCTTCAACAGCATAACATCAGGGTCTTAGCCTGGCCAGCTTATTCTTCAGACTTGAATCTCTATGCTCGAGGATCATGAAAGGATTCTTCGTGAAGAATGTGCTAACCTCCAGCACAGAGACATTTCCAGTCTGGTAGAAAGTATGTCGAGGCGTCTTCGAGAAGTAATTAAGGCAAGAGGATATTAATTAAAAATGTAAAACAAATTTTATCTGTCCGTCTTTTTTATTTATTATTTATTACTTTTCTGTAGCAATTTACATATGCCTTTAAATTTTTTAGACAAAGACTCAATTAATAAACGGTAAAAAACGTGAAACTTTGATTAATATGTAAAAATATTTACAAATCAATTTATATTGTAAGTGGGCGTAAATTTTTGGCTGTCAGTGTACTGTTTGGATTTATTAAAAAATACATCGCCACTTTGAAAGCCACGTCCTCGATCATCTTTTAATATAACCGTATATACAAGTTTTAATATATATTATATATACAAGTTTTTTCCTCATGATATATTAAGAGTGTTCACCGTGGATGAAAACCCCTGATAAAAATTAAATCGTTTAAATCCTTTTTCAATTTATAGAAACATAAAAATAAACTAGGCCCTCGCGCCCCGGTAATTTGTCTTTGTGAAGAGGGTGGACCCCAATCGTCCTAAGTAAGATATGTAGTGGTTGTAGAGAGTGGCACGGAGTAAATACATCATTAGGTCCCTGTTTACTACATGGACTATAAAAGGGGCGGCTTACTCAGCCAGTGTCCCCGGCTCCATTACACATATTGCTGCCTCAGGGCACTCACCGAGTGACTCCGCGGGATACCGAACGGCCGTTTTATTTATGTCGCCGCTATCCTCTAGGCCCTAAGGATACGTTGCAATTTGGAAAATTTAAAAAATAATGAAAACCGAAGTATGCCGATATATGTTTTCGTTTTTATCATGATTTTCCGTGTAATTATAGTTTTTTAAATTAATTTTTTGATCAAATTAATTTCTCAGCACTTCCGGTGTTTCTACTAACTCTGGTCTTCCCATCTACGCTGGTTTGGTTTGTCAGACGCTATTTGGCCATGCGCCATCTTCAGTGGTAAAACATCAATCAGACCAGTTTTCAAACATGCAAAACACGGCACTATGCTACAAAAAAAAAACACTCCAAACTAAATAATTTATACAGTATAAACAATTCAACGAATCTAAAAAAAAAAATCCATAAAAAAACCGAGTCAAAAATGTGTGGTGATTAGTGACCGTTAATCGATAATTATTCAGAAATCGTGAGATGCGGTCTGGTGTGATGTAGGTTTCAAGAAAACATTTTCTTTATCGTGCCAACTTTTCGATCTTTGGAAAAATGGCAAAAAGTAGGGAAAATACAAAAAGGTGCGGTCGATATGGGAAGTTGATGTCCGAGTGGATCAAGGTCACGATAGCTCAAGCGGTAGACCAGCGGCGTATCAAGCCGAAGATCGTGGGTTCGAATCCCGCTTGTGCCATTGACTTTTTTATCTCAACT